TGGCCTTTGGTACAGAGTATGTATGGTGCTAAGAGGCCCAAGGACATTTTGATTTTTAGCCAAGTTTAAGTTTATAAAGGTAAGTTTCTAAATAATATAATTTGCAAAGGATTTCTCATTTTCAAAGTGCATTGATATATGTTATCAATGCTACTGTATGGGAAAGAAGTAGCAAGTGAAATAGTGGCATTTCATTCAAAGCAACCATGTGTTATCAAATCCATATACCTAACAATTGCACAGAATGAATAGTTGGAAAGGAACTAGGGGTGTTAGTCTGGGATGTGGAGGCAGGCTAGCATTATGTTCAATCCAGCTTTTTCCATTCCTGTCTAAGAGATTTATGGAGAAAATAATCACCTTCTTCGGGTCTGTTTATTCTTATCTAAAACTGCCTTCATCAGACTTTGCTCATAGGGCTTTGGGAAAAGATGACTATGACAATAAATACTTCTCTAGCTCTGTGTGCCAGGCTTTGTTTTATTGAAATACTGAACAGAAACCAAGTCCTGAAACTAAGACTTCTTAAATTCAGACTTCTTTTGTAGCGCAGTTTTAGATTCTCAGTAAAATTGAGAGGAAAATAGCCTTTTTTTCCTGTCTATGCACAGCTTTGTACATTATCAATACCCCCCCCCGATTAATTGTTGATGTTGTTGTTGTTGTTTTGTCTTTTTAAGACAGGGTCTCCCTGTAGTCCTAGCTGACCTGAACTCACTATGTAGACCAGGCTGGCCTTGAACTCACAGAGATTCATCTGCCTCTGCCTCCTGAGTGCTGGGACCATGCCCGGCCAGATTAATTGTTTTTAACATTGGTTGTAATCTGCTTTCAGACTAATTTTTTTAAAATACAGAATAAGTTATGGGACTTAAGGAACATTTAACTCATTCTTTAAAAAAAAACCCTATTAATATTATAAAAATATTATTGGAATATAATTCATTTACCATGCAATGGATTTGGATATAGTATTCATTCTATTTTTACTTTGTGTGTGTGTGCATGTGTGTGTGTGTGCATGTGTGTGCGCATGTGTGCGCACACGCATGCACATGTGGAGGTCAGAGGAAAACTTGGAGGAGTCTGTTCTCTACTTCTATCATGTGTGCTCTAGGAATCAACCTTGTCATCAGACTTGATGGCAAATATCTTTACCCACTAAACCAGCTTGCCAGCCCTGTCAGTTTTTATAAGTTGCTGTAAATTATGTATGATATAAAAAGCATCATTTTAACCATTAAGTATATAATTCAGTGGCACTAATATTTACAATTTCATGTAGCCATTGCCTGTTTTTAAAACTTTTTCATGACTTTGAAGAGTAACCTTTAAACAGAATATCTCCATTTTTATCTTCCTCTAGCTTCTGATAATATCTAAGAGACCATGTCTCTATAAATTTACATTTTTTAGATATTTCTTGCATGTGAATAATTGATATTTATTCTTTAGGATCTGGCTTAGCATAATGTTTCCACTGTTCATTCATGTTAAAGTATTTTTCAGAACTTCATTTTCTTTTTCTGAGAATTTCATACATGAGAACTGTATTATATCATTTCTGCCCCTCTTGCTCCTCTCCAACTCTTCCCATAGCACCCCCAATTTCATGACCTCTTTGATAATTATTGTTACATAGATACAAATACATATATAACCTACTGAATCCATTTAATGGTGCTCATGTGTAAATGTGTTTAGGGCTAATCATTTAGGATTGGATAACCTATCAGGGAGCTCGTCCCTGGAGAAAACTGATCCTCCCTCAGCAGCCATTGATTGCTTCTAACTCTTCATCCAGCAGTATGACCTGGCAAAATTTCTCCCATCCACATTGGTTGTGTTTAGGAAACCATACTGTTTATATTTCATGAGTGCAGCTTTCCTATCATGTCTAGAATATACTTACTTAGCAGTAGATGTCTTAGTTCTCTGACTCTTACAATCTTTCCACCTCCTCTTTTGTGATGTTTCCTGAGTCTTAGTTGTCAGGGTTATGGAAACCTCCCTTCAAGTTGTTGGTTAGGATGATCCAAGAGACTCCCCAAACAGTATAAGTTATTGTCACTGCCCTTGGTTGCCTCTCAGAACTTGAAGGTAAGACCCTATTGTTGAAAATGCCACATACTTCAGACACAGGACTTGGAGAAACTGAGCTGAAACTGACCTAGAAGCTTCCTCCCTGAAAAAATGCTCTCATAGTATTTGGAAAGTGCTATGCAAGCTGTCAAAGGAGAAAAGCAGTCAATAGACCTATCTACCTGTAAAGCCTATGAACCACAACAATGACTGGACCAGCAAAATATCTCTGTTATTGCAATATTGCACTTTTGTCCTGGCGGTAGCCCACAGCTTTCTAATTGGACTTAAGATCTGCTCAACAGGAGGGAATTCATGCATGTACTTCAAACATAGCCAAATATCCATGACTGTAGAGGTCATAGACAAGAAAAGAGCCTACTAAAACTGTGTAATCTCTTACTATGTTCTAAATGCTTATCTTTATATTCACAGGTACGTATCAAAGAAACTTTATTTTTAGGTTGGGCTTATGCTTACTGGCTTATACTTTTAATCCCAGTACTCAGGAGGCAGAGGCAGAGGCAGATGAGTCTCTGTGAGATCAAGTCCAGCCTAGTCTACATAGCAGGTTCAAGGCCAGCTGAGGCTATGGGAGACCCTGTCTCAAAAAGACCAAAACAAACAAGATCCTACCTTAAAATAGTGCCTCCTCAACTCCAGTAATTTTGAAGGAGTAAAGGAGCAAGCATAGCACAGTGTATACTAAGATATTAGTTACTCAGGTTAGGAATGAGAAGGAAATAAGAGAGGAAGACTCAGTATTAGAGCAATGAAGAGAAAAGAAAAGTAAATAGAAGTGAGGAGCACAAAGGTGGAAATGAGGTGGCTCCAGCCAAAGGTAGAAAGGTAGTAAGAAATACAGTCAGATACCGTAAAACAATCCCAGCACTTGGAAGACTGTGGCGGAGACATGCCCAACTCAAGGCTAAGCCTATTAGAAAAAAGGGGGAGGGAAGAGGCAGGGCAGAACAAAGATGGTCTACTAAATTGCCATTAGATATTAAATAAAGAATGTATAAAAGCAAAGGAGAGAGAACTGTGTGTGAGTGCCATAGTCTTTGTGTCCCTTACGTATGCACAGGTACTGGGCCTCTTCTGTGTAGTTCTTCATGTGGGCATGGTTGCTGGGCCTTCCTCTCTGTATGGTTCCTAGCATAGGCATGGGCACCAGGCCTGTCTCTCTTGGGTCCAATTTATAGATTCTGGTCTATAGCTCAGATCAGATTTCTACCTCATGGAGTACTGTGTGATTCTGGCACAGTTTTCTCCCCACCTAGCTAGAAGCATTCAGCAGGCCAAGTCTCAGAGTATAGTCAGAGCATACATTTGCTCTGGGTTTCCAGAGTAAAGCATCTAGGAGGGACCATTGACTCCAAAACTATCTACTCAGCAGCGCTCTTTTTAAAATGGCTTCTTGCCTATTCTTGGTTGAGTGTGAAGAGGGACTTCACCTCTCCCGCCAGTAGCTGCTATAAGTCAGTCTCTCTCTCTGTCTCTGTCTCTGTCTCTCTCTCTCTCTCTCTCTCTCTCATGCTAGGATCACAGATTTGTGCTGCTACCATGCCCAGTGCTTTTTTTTTCTTCTTTTAAAACATTGTTTCACTATGTTGCCCAGGTTGGGCTCAAATTTGCAATCCTCCTATCTCAGCCTCCCAAGTAGCTGGGATTATAGGCGTGAGCCATTGCATTCAACTAAGTCCATATTTTAAATTGTTGAAGTCAGAAGATTTAAAATTATCTTGTGAAATTTCTATTAAAGTACACGCTTTAAACTTCTCTACTATTCATTGTAGGTCAGTAACAAACTCCTGTTTAACCAAATGTTTATCTGTTCAACTCTTATTCTGAAAATGGAAACCTTCCCTTTAAATAATTCTTAGGTCTTGTGAATAAGAGGACTCCATCTCTTTGTTTCTCCCTGCATGTATTTCTTTCTATAAGAGGACACCTAGTGTAGGTGCACCGTTTTATCAGTGGTCTCCTTCCTGGCTCCAAGCTTCAGTGGTAGGCAGATGCATGTGAGCACTGTGAGCATTGGGCTTCTTGACCTGGTCTTTAAGATATAAAGGGAGACTAATGGTATTTGGAAAATACCTTTTCAAAGCTGTTCAAACTCCAAATTTTTGAAAAGGTTTATCTTTATTATTTTTAATTGTGTGGGGAGTGGGGTATGTGCACACATGAAGGTGCCTATAGAGGCCAAAGCAAGTAAGATTTCCTACAGCTGGAATTACAGGTGGTCATGAGGTGCTCCCCTGATGTGGGTATTGGGAACCAAACTCCGATCCTCTGCAAGAGCAGTAGGTGTTCTTAACCATTGAGCCATCAATCCAGCTCCCAGACTCCCATTTTTGCACACTAGAAACTTGCAGTTCTACTATAATAAAATCACATATACCCATGGCAGATAGATATGTTGGGTGGACTGTGAAAGTTACAATCTCAAAAAGACAGAAAAGAAAAACACACGAATAGATAACAAACTCTTGCCCCTTTTATGCACAAGAATTTTCTTTTTGCTTTTGCAGTAAGATTTTTGTTGTCACAGTGAAAGCTAAAATTCTTTTCTTTCCAAATAAACCCTAATCTTCTTCATCTTGCTTTTTTCCATCTTATAACACGGAAAGTAAATGATAAGAAAATTATTCTAAGGTTATGGGTATAAGGCCAGTGGTAGAGCATGCACTTTGTGTGTGTGAGACCCTGGGAGGTAAGCCTAGCATTGAAAAGGAAAAGAGATGGTGGAAGGAAAGGAAGAGATAAAAGAGAAAAGAAGTTATCTCTATCTATCTATCTATCATCTATCTATCTATCATCTAGATATATATGTACATATATATTAAATGATGCATGGATAGTAAAAATGATAAACATTTTAAAACTTTTTTCTGTGCAGGAACTACAGTTAAAAACAGAACAAGAAGAAGGTCTAAAATTGAAAGCTGAGGACCCTGATGGGTTTAACTTGAAAAGAAGAAAAGGTCCTTATAGGAGTGTGGAACACCTCCAGGTTTGTCCATTCTGCTGTGTTTCTAGTTTCTCTTCAGTTTCCATGAGTATCTAAATAGGGATAAAAACATAGTGGATTCTGAATAAAATAGACTTTTGGCCACTTGTTTGTAAAATGTAAGTTTGTTGTTAAGAAGTGATTTCTCATCCAGACATGTGTTATCTTATGTCAGCAGCAATGGTTTATTTAAATATTTTAGAATGTAATTATGAAAACCATGTTCACTAGATTATATCTATTCTCTCTGTAGACTGATTTATCCTCATGGAGACAGATATATTTCTAAATACCAGAACTCTGCATTTATTTTTTAATTTGTTTTTGTTGAATTTTTGTGTATTTCATACAGAACATCTTAATCATCTTTATACCCCATCCTCACCAGCACCCTCCTATAGCCCCTCCTCCCACTGGAGCCCATGTACTCTGTCATTCCCATTAAGGCCCACTGAGTCAAGTCCGTGTTCCTAGACGTTCCCCAATACAAGTCCATCCACTGAGGTCTAGTCAGCCATCTAGAATCCCTTGTTTTAGGAAGATCATCTTGTCTCCACTTAGCAGAAATCAGTTGCCAACATTCTTTTACATAAGATTGGGGTCTGCTGTTCATTTTCCCAGTTCTGTGCTGGGTTTTTGTCTGTCTGAGTTTGCTTGGGACTTGTGTATGCTGACACTATTGGCATAGAATCATATGAGCAGGTTTGCATATCCTCCCTGGCTCTTATAGTCTTTCTGCCCCTTTTTCCTCAATGGTCTCTGAGCCTTGAGTGGGTGAAGTTTAATAAAGGAGTCCTATCCAAGGACCAGCATTCAGCAGACTCTTGATCTCTATGCTTTGGCCATTTGTGACCTTTTGTGTTCCTGGCCCTCCACTACATGAAGGAGCTTCATTAATAAGAACTGATAGATTCATTAGTGTCCTCTTCTTTACCGCTGTTCTATGTTCCATGAGCCTTAGGTATAGAGGTTGCATTATAGATGAGTCTCTTAGGCCTGGGCAATTCATAGACAATGTCCATGTGTGACCACTTGTGGTGCTTGGTAATAGACTTTGATGCAAAATGAGCTTCTTTGATGAATGGTGACTGGGATATTTGTAAATACAAGGATAAATATTTTTCACATAGTAAGAAATCACATTAGTCTAGGGATGTGACAGTCTTGAGGTTTTTCTAAGACTCCAGTCATGTGTATTTGGTTATATTTATAGTACCACACTTGAATTTCCTCCCATTGAGTGGGAAGTCCAATTAGGTAGTTATTGATTATCCCCAAGATAAAAGTGCACCAATGTCGTATGCTGGCCATTGATGTGGTTATTTGGTCTAGAAGCTGGTGTTGGACCATTGATTGATGTTTTCCCTTGGCACCTTTATAGCAGTCTCCAAAGCTATGAGATCTAGCCTTCAGGGAAAGTGGTTTCAGGTCAGTTGCAGCTCTGTTGCTCCAAGTCCTGTGTCTGATGTTCTGTCTTCAGCAATAGGGTCTTACCTTTAAGTTCTGGAAGGCAATCAAGGACTGTGGCAATAGTCTGAGTAATTTTGGGAGTCTCTTGGACCACCCTGGCCAGCAACTCAAGGGAAGATATCTCCTGTTTGGCACTGTTTCTTATGTAGCCCTTAGCTATATACATAGACTCTTGTAGACATAATGCATGTGTAATTTGTCATTAGGTTGTTGGACTAATATGGTTCCCTCTGTTTTTTTTTTTTAACTAGCTAGCCATTACATATCTCTCCTCTCTCTCACTGTCTAACCCTTCCACCATGGCTTCCCCATTTAGTGTCCCCATTTTCCCCATAATGACTTGGTAATGCCAGTCTCCTATGGTCCCACCTATCTTGAGTGCCTTCTTTCCATTTATGAGAGCTCTATATTTAAACAGAACTAAATTGTGTATGTACTGTAACATATTAAAACGTATTTTAATGTCATTTAAAAAATAAAATCATAACCCATAAACTAATTTTAAAGTTCAAATTGAAAATATTTAAGAAAAATAATGACCTTAAAATTGTAATTATACTCAAAATGCAACTATATTTCAGATTTGAAAACAAATCTTTAAATTTTATACATTTTAATAGTGATATTTAGGGTATGAATATATTCTTGAACACACCATTTCTACTTGGAAATATTTTTAACAATTGTAATTGCTTGTTTTTTCCATTGGGAATGCAGTTTACAAAAGACTTCTTGCTCCTCTTTAAAGGAATGCTGTAGAATATTAACTTAAAAGAGGAATACTGTAGAATAGTAACTTAATTGCAGACTTCATATGGTCTGCGGGGTCTAATGCTACAATAAAACTAAAGTATGTAAATAGTTAATGTTTCTGTTCCTATAATTATACAGCTGCTGCTGATGCTATAGGCTTCAGTGTTATTTGGATTGATCATACTTTATAGGTCTGTTTGTAAGATTGGCTTGCTTTGCATCTTTGTTGTCTTAGCTACATTGCCCTCTTTTCTCATGCATATTCTCTTGTTCCTATTGTTTTGAGATAGGGCATCAAATAAGCATAGGTTGGTCTGAAACTTAATTATATAGCTGAAGATGACCCTGAACTTCTGACCCTCCTGCTTCCATCTCTGGAGTTCTGGTTTTACACATGTGCTGCCATGTCCAGTTTCTCACTGTCTTAATATAAATTTCTAGGGGCTCTTTTTACCAAGCCCATGAAGGGCTGGAACATAGTACTATATAGATTTTTCTATTTGTGTGTTGTTTTGGTGGCTTTAATGCTATTACTCTGTAACCTTGATATCTTAGTCATATTTCACTTATAATAATGTTGGTACTGGTTTCTGGATATGTTTAACATATTTACTTAGGATATCTTTCCACTTCTGGCTTTTAATTTTTAATATTTAAAGTTGACAAGCTGCAATGTAGATTTGTTTTTCAATCATTAATTGATTGAATCAGGCATTTATTTACGTACTCATTTGACATTATATCAAACGTCAACTGCAGACCAGGCAATGCACCTATATTAAGGATAGGCACCTGAAAAGTACCACTCCTGTCAAGCAGTTCAGGGAAGGCAGACTCATAGAGCAACCACCACGGTAAGCATTATGGTAGAAGTATGCTCTTCCACAACAGAAGAGGCCCAGCCTGTTTTTAATAAAAGTAAAGAAAATTGTCAGTTATTTCTTTGTCAGGCAAAAATTCCTCTGCATGTAACATGTTTGGGTAATAATTTTTAATTTCCTATAAAACAACATAGCAACATGTTAACTAGAACTACTTCTTAGGATTTCAGACAGGAACAGGAATTACTCTGACTAGTAGTTTTAATGTTCATTTCAGAAGATTTTTGCTGATTAAAGTAGTACCATAATCTTTATGGTAGGAAAAACAAATGATAGTATTTCTTTTAATGTAGAAATTGGATGAGCAAAAGAAATGGTTAGATGAAGAAGTAGAGAAAGTTCTGAACCAACGCCAAGAATTAGAGATGCTGGAAGACGAATTAAAGCAACGAGAAGCTATAATTTCTAAGAAGGAAGCCCTGCTACAAGAGAAGAGCCAGCTGGAAAATAAGAAATTGAGATCTAGTCAGGTATTCTATTTAATTTGCTATATGGTTCTGGTTTTAGAATTTGTTTTTCTCTAAAAGGTAAATTACAAGCTGGGGAGGTGGCTTAGTCAATAATGTGCTTGCCACCCAAGCATGAGGACCTGAGTTTGGATCCCCAGAACCCACATAGAAGTGCAGTGAGGTAGCATACACCTGCAGTCTCAGTGCTGGGAAGTGACGACAGGAGGACTCCTGGGACTTACTAACTCGCCAGTCTAGCCCATCAGTGAGAGACCCTGTTTGAAAATATAACACGGAGGAGAAGTGATTGAGGAACACACCCAACATCACCCTCTGGCCTTGACACACATGTGCACATACTTGCACTCATATTGGCACACAGACATGTACACACATACACACCAAAAAGGTAAATCATACATTTGTAGTTAGAGCCAAAGGAAAATTATTCTTTGTTTTGTTACTTTATCAAATGACCATCATCAAAATACTGCAGCTTTGAAGTAAAATATTCAGTATTCTCCTGAATATGATTTATTATTAACTTTTTAAATTATGGTAAAATATATAGAACATAAAATTTACCTTGCTTTTTGTTATTGTTGTTTGTTTGTTTGTTTTGGATTTTTAAATAGTGTCTCACTGTGTATCTTGGGCTGGCCATGAACTTCTGCATCAGTCTGTCTAGTATAGAAGTGTGCCCTCATGGTCAGCCTAAAATTTTCTTTTTAAACCATTTTTCAAATGCAGAGTTGATTGCATTAACATCTGCAGTACTGTACAGCTGTCACAGCTGTCTGTTTCCAAAACTTATTCCCCAAAATAGAAATTCCCATTTCTCCTGGTCCCAGATGCTGACAACCTCTTTTAGTAACTTTAGTGGGCATTTTAAATAAACAGTATCATTTATTCTTTATAGTGAACACTGGTAATTTGGAAAAAAATGGACTTGAAATCTATTATCTACCTATCACTACTACTGAAAATTAGGGTCCTATAAAAGAAAAACAGATTTTGTAGAATGGGGATTTGTTAATTTTTTTTTAATTAATAAAGGCTTGAAAAACCACAAATTTTTTTTCTGGAGAACTGAGGCCTTATAAGCCACTTAATGAAGTTTTATGAACAGTGTTGCCTCAGTTTCAGATTTTGAAAAAGAAATGACTGTAGAGGAAGTAAAAGCAACACAGGACTATTTTCTTGACTTATCTGTATTATTTTCACTAATAGCATCTGAAAAGAAATCTGGCTTGCTAAGAGCCACTTCTGGTTGGCATTGGATCCAGGGTCAGTTCACATATTGAGTCATGGAATAAAGGATCAATGGCCTGCCCCTCTGTTAAAAATGTACTTTGGCAAACATCTATACCAATAGGATCTGAGTTGATGTTCTTAATATCTCTATATAGATGTAGCAGGTGATGGTGACCTGGACTTACCTTTGCTTTTGCAATCACACTGAAACAGCTTGTCAGTTGGCCACTGAGCACAGCCTGGTTGCTGATGCCATATCCAAACAACGTCCTAAAACTGGCTATTAGGGCCAAGTTGTAAAACCTACTGTTCCTAAAGGAAGATGGCTCATACATGGCCTTAGGTGAGGTTTGCTGTTTTTCTGCCAATAATTCAGGTGTAATTGAGTTTTACTGGGCCTCTGGTAATACTCCTCCTAGTCCTTATGGTGAGCCCAAGCCTCCTAAAATGTCTAACTAGGTAGATCAAGAGTCATCCAAATGCCATCAAAATTATGGTTCTAAGGACCCAATATGAGCCTCAAAATCAAAACAAATCAAAGATTTGACTTATGTCCCAGAGGCCATGGGGAATGTGATACCCCAAGCATCTCCATTTTGTGTAAGTTTCACTGGTCAATCATCTGGTCATAGGACCACCCCTAGGAAGGCAGGTCATGCTAAATAGATGAGTGGAATACCTAGGGTGTTAAGGTGTTAATGAGATAGTGAGTGTTTCCTGTCTGGAATCCTGCCTACTACCTCAGAGCTTTGGAAGAGCCACAGTCGTGTAGGTCTCTGTAAGTCTGTCCACCTTTCTGAAAAGGTGTAATTTTCCTTTTTCTTCTTCATGCCTTTCTTATTAAACATGCTTTTTTTATAGCTTTGGACTGCCCCTAACATCTTTTATTTCTTCACTCTCTCTAAATCTTCCTTTTCCCAGCCATGTGGCTGCCAGCCAGCCATGGATCTGACCCCCACGCCTTGTCCCCTCCATTATCCTCCTCAAAGCAACGGGCAAGATTAGTAGCTTGCCTTCTCTGAGGATTTTTCTTTAAAATTCAAATAAAATTCCTTTGATCTATGGGTCTATTTTTGTGCCAGTACCATGTTGATTTTATGACTACAGCTCTGTAATACAGTTTAATATCTGGTATACTAATCCCCCAGCATTGTTCTTAGTGCTCAGGGTTGCTTTGGCTAGCCATGGTCTTTTGTGCTTCCATATGAATCTTAGGATTTTTTTTTCCAATTCTGTGAAAAATGTCATCGGGATTTTGATTGGCATTGCATTGAATCTATAAATGGCTTTTGGTAGGATGGTAATTTTCACAATATTCTTTTAACCCATAAGCATTGGGAGTTCTTTCCATCTTTTGATGTCTTCCTCAGTCTCTTTATTTATTTATTTATTTTGGTCTTTTTGAGACAGGGTCTCACTGTAGCTCCAGCTGTCCTGGAACTCACTATGTAGACCAGGCTGGCCTTGAACTCACAGAGATCCACCTGCCTCTGCTTCCCGAGGGCTGGGATTAAAGGCATGCACCACCATGCCCAGCTTTAGATTTAAAATTTTCATTGTAGAGGTCTTTAATGTCTTTGGTCAGGTTTATTCTGATACATTTTATTTTACTTGCAGCTATTGTGAAGGGGAGGGTTTCCATGTGCTCTTTCTCTGATTGCTTCTTATTGGTATATAGAGAGGATACAGGCTTTTCTAGATTAATTTTGTAACATGCCACATTACTGAATGAGTTAATAATTTCTAGGAGTTTTCTGGTGGAATTTTTGGCATATCTTAGATATAATATCATATCATCTGCAAAAATGGATAATTTGATCTCTTTTTCCAATTATTACTCCTTTAATTTCCTTCTCATCTTACTGCTCTTGCAAGAGTTTCAAGTACTATGTTAAAGAGAAGTGGGGATAGTGGACAGCCTTGTCTGGTTCCTGATTTCAATGGGAATGCTTCCAGTTTTTCTCCATTTAGAATGATGTTGACCATGAGTAGGTGTAGGAAAGTACTTTCTAAATCAGACATCAGCTGCTCAGGCATTAAGGTCAGCA